TAATCTTCAATTTGAAACCCTTGGACTTAGTTTACAGCCTAAAAAATGGTCTTTTCAGAATTGGAGGTAAAAAGTTGGGAATTAGAATGATAGTGGTAGAGAAATCATTAGCATGTTTCAACAAAGAGCAATAGAGAAGTACTGAATTATATGGTTTTGGTTTTCGTTTCCGACCAAAATTTATAATCATTTCATTTACCTAAACTTAACTTTGTCTTCTTTTAACCTAAAATTGGCTTTCCGGTAAGTAGCAAGTCACAACATATCTGGTGGTTGCAGTGGTTAAACTAGTTAGCCTTTCATTTATGAAATATATACATGTATATAATCCTAATTTGACTTTCACATATATTAGAAAGAAAAAAAAACTATTTCATCATAGTAAAATGTAGTTTAAGGTAATTGCATAAGCATTAAGGAAATTATTAAGCAATCTCAATTCAAAAAAGAAAATTGTTATAATTAACTAAATTGCCCTTTCATCAATTCTCTAAATTAAATAATATTTATTTAATGGAAATACCAAGAGATAAGGGTAAAGTTGAAACAGAAAAGTGTTTTCTTAATTCTATAGTATAGTACAAAAAACAAAAAAAAAATCTTAAACCCCACTTATTTTTTCTATACAACATTATTAAACTATAATTTTTTCATAGTTTTTTCTATACTCTTATATAAATGTGCAAACCAAATTATTGTTGAAACTAATTAAAGTATATTTTTAATGCAAGCATCAATTCAATCAAAATTATAGAATTGTCTTAGATTGATAGCTAACAATAATAACTTTGTTAATAGAAATACAACTTGAATAGGAGGGAGGGAGTGAGTATTAACTATTCTATCGATTTCATTTTAAATATCACTTAGGCTCCGTTTGTTTCTATAAAATAATTTGTTGAAAAATATTTTCCAAATGACTAATGTTTCACTGTTTGGTTGTAATATTGAAAATTAGTTAAAAATATTAAAGTCTTTATCTCATAAGACTATAAAAATATTAATAACAATAGAAATTTTTCTTTATCTCATAAGACTATAAAAATATTAATAACAATAGAAATTTTATAATTTAAAATTCTATTGTTAAATATGAAAAGAATGAAAAAAATATATAATTTATGAAAGCCGCCGGTGGCCCGTGGTAGTAGCCGATGGTGGTGGTCAGTAATAAATGGTGACTGATGATAGTGACTATAATGATTAATAAATTTAAAAAATATGGATTTATAAGGTTTGCTAATGTTAGAAAAGTGTTTTACTCTCTTGAAAATGGAAAGTTGTTTTCCTTAAAAAATGACTAATTTTTCTTTGATCAGGAAAATATTTTCCATTGATTTATTTTCCCAAATACCCCAAACAATGGAAAATTCTGAAAAATATTTTTTTGTAAGTTATTTTATGGAAACAAACGGAGCCTTAGAAAGAAAAATTTCCACTTCATTTGTTATTTTCAAAAATTAAAGAAGTATTAGTTAATTTTTTTTTATTTTACTTTTGTGCCTTGTTAGCCCCAATAAATTATTCCATTTTTCTCTTCCTTAAAACCTTTTACTTTAGTTGTTACATTTCTCTCTCTTAATTAAATATTTAAAGAAATTATAAAAAGGTAATAATTTAACAAATTTGCAACTCTTTTTTTAAATCAAGTAGTTTAATAATTTTATTTTTTATGTAAATACCTTAAATTACATTTAAAGTGAAATAAAGAGAGTACTGAATAATTTTATAAGAGTAGTGCTATTTAATCCGTCTATTAGCATTTTATCTTATTTAGTACCTATTTGACAATAAGTTTTAAGATTTAACTCAATAAACTTATATCGAAAATTTTAACATTCAATAAATAAATGGTCCGTAAAGTTTCTAACTCACTCGGCAAATGATCATTGAAATCAAGTAACACTTTTAAATTGTGATTGGCATTTTTACTACTGAGCTGCCATTAAAAAAATTTTATTGAAAATATTATTAAAGATCATAAGAAACTATTTTTTATAAATAATTTTATAAAAATTATAAATTAATAAAACAACATTCTAAAATCATTTTTCAGTAATATTTAAAATGGTTTTTTAAATAGAAGGCATTTTGACTGCAGCGTAAAATTAAGCCCAGATGAACTTAAAAGAAATTAGCTGGTTAGCCCATGTCTAACAACGACAAAATAAAAGTTTTGAGTTATCAGTCAGTCATCTTTTTCAGCAGAAAACTAAAAATTAAAAAGCTTAAAAAATGGCCTGTCCGAACTCCCCCACCACCTCCACCGGCGACACCGCCAAACCAAGAGTGGTCATTTGCGTAGGCGATATACATGGCTACTTTGTGAAGCTCCAAAATCTCTGGTCCAATCTTCAATCCGTAATCAGCCCACAAGAATTTAGCTCTGCCACTATAATTTTTTTAGGCGATTACTGCGACCGTGGCCCAGATACCAAGAAAGTCATAGATTTCTTGATACATTTACCCTCAGCTTATCCAAATCAAAAGCACGTGTTTCTCTCTGGTAATCACGACCTTGCTTTTGCTGCTTTTGTTGGGGTTTTGCCAGAACCCCCAAACGGGGTATCGTTTAAGGAGGGATGGAAGGAGTACGAAGAGAATGAGGAAAGGGAAGGATGGTATAAAGGAGATGGATATGAAAATATGTATTTGCAAGGGAGGATATGGGCTGGAACTATGAAGGATAAGTTTGATAGTAAAGGGACTGAATACATGGGCTCTAATTATGATGCTGCACCCACTTTTGAGTCCTATGGAGTCCCTCATGGATCTGCTGGTATGTGACTGCTTTTCTTTGTTGATATATTATGGTACATTAAGTCCTTCAGTTATTATATCCGCACTTCGTTCTTGGTTTTTCTTTTCCGGAAAAGAAAAGAAATTACTAAAATTGTAATGGTTTCAAGAAAAGAAATTACTAAGATTGCAATGATGATTACATTGTGTTATCATTTCCGTTGCTTAATGTCAAATGCGACTTCAACAATTAATTAGTAACTGTATTTGCTTTTTATGTGAATTGGGTTCTTGTATTTGGAGTTGTAGTTTCCACTTTTTAGTGCTTTTATTATCTCATTTGGGGTGTTGGAGGTATTGATTTAGAGATGAGTTTATTTATCAATTTTGATGCTAGTAAATTGTGTTTGCAATTTACCTTTCTTAATTATTTTGATGATCAATTAAATTGCGTTTCTAAAATTGGATTTTTCTGTTTCACTTGCCTTTCTGAAATTGAGATGGCATTGTTTAATATTTAGTTCTGTGATTTTATTGTTTAAATATTTTGTTGAATTGAGTAATTGTTCCATACAGATTTGATGAAGGCGGTTCCCAATGAACACAAGAAGTTTCTGGCTGATATGGTTTGGGTCCATGAAGAGGCAAGGCTTGTTTTCTTTGATGTTGTCATTTTAGAACTCTGGTTAATTGAGTATGATATCATATCAGCTGGAGAAATAAGATGGAAAAGTAAAATAGATTTTGTCGCCGTTCTTTTTCCCCTGTTAAGTTTTTTTCTGTGACTTTATTTTGCATTTGAACCATAGCAATGTCCACTTGCTCTCTTCAATTTCAAGATATTACTGTAACAGTTAGGTGGCAATCATGTAATTGTGACTTTATTTTGGCCATTTGAACCATAGCAATGTCCACTTGCTCTCTATCAATTTCAAGATATTACTGTAACAGTTAGGTGGCAATCATGTAAATTGAAAAAAAATTACAATGGAAAGCAATGCATTTGAGTTTTGTTTCAACTTTTCTAATAACTGTTGGCATCCTCCATGTACTTGCTTTCATCATGTTTCTGCTGATCAAAGTGCAAGACTTACCGTTACCTAAGTCAACACTGTAATGAACTAAAGAATCTCCATATCTGTTTTTAACATATGCACGCAAAACTAAATGTTTCTGCTGATCAAATGCAAGACTTACGTTACCTAAGTCAACACTGTAATGAACTAAAGATACTCATTCTGTTTTGAACATATGCACCAAACTAAACAATTAAAAATTTCAAATACATTCTCCTGAATAGTATTTGTGATCAGAGGTTCCTACAAAGTGACAACTGATAAATTTTAGGGCCTTGAATGTTCTGTTGTACATGTACATGAACTAAAGATACTAATTGTTGATGAATGATGGTTACTTTTCAAGAATCCTGTCAAAAGAATTGTCTTTTTTGCTATGGTGTTGATGAAGAGAGATTTTGCTTTATAAGATGAAATGCTTCAGTTTAGTGGGTGTTCATAATTTGCAATTTTTTTACAGGAGGATGTTTGTATAGAGAACGAAGAAGGAATGAAGCACTGTAAATTGATTGCTGTTCATGCTGGTTTGGAGAAAGGGAAAAACGTTGAGGAACAGCTAAAATCTTTGAAAACCAAGGACACCAGGGTGCCCAAGATAGAGCCTCTTAGTGGGAGGAAAAACGTCTGGGATATCCCGAAGGTGATGCACTGTTACTTCCTGTTAAATTATCTTCTACTTGGTGAAACAATGTTCTTTTGTTGAGAATTGTGGCTTGAATACTTGCTTTAGTTGCCTAGAAAATGACTCGGAACCTGTTCGGTATTGAGGTTGAAACTTGCTTTTTGAAAACATTCCATTTTATATTTCCTGGGAAAAGAAATAGTTATTTTGGAGCCTTTATGACTAAAACATTCAAATTCATCTTCAAAACAATTTTTACTGCCCTTTTGTCAACATTTTCAACAATGATGTTTTCTCGGACAGATCTAGTGATGGATTACATGTCTTTTACATACTATAGCAGTCTTTCTGGTATGGAATGAAATTCAACTGAAATATAGATCTTTGATTCCTGATGCCTCACAGGAATTAACTGAGAAGCCAACCATTGTTGTTAGTGGTCATCATGGGAAACTGCATATTGAAGATCTTAGATTGATTATTGATGAAAGCGGCGGGCTAGAGAATAATCCGGTGGCTGCCATTGTGCTTCCATCAATGAAGATTGTTCGTGATACTGACTATTTGACAAATTAACTTAAAAAATTGTATTATATTATATAATAACTGTCTTGTAGTTTTGGAAAATTTATCTAAGCGGACATAGTTATCTACCTATTCATAGAATTTGATCCATGCGAGCTTTGTTGCATAAAATAAGATGAGATATGTTGGAATTCTATGTATTATTCATTTTTCTTCTCTATGAGATATGTCACTGATTCCTTCTTACATTCTCTTCATTCTTGTGTTTTCCACGATGGATTTGCTTTTTAGCCTATGTTTGGTTCCTGAGAAAATAATAGGATAAGATAGTGCTTAACATTTTGACTAGGCACAAAACGTTACCTCTATTAATTATCATGTTGGATAACATAATATTTAGAATAGCATTTTTAGCATTTGACAATAAAAAATTGAATTTTTTAAACTGTTTTTATATTTAACAATTAAATAAGATAATGAATATTACCAAATAATTTGATGACGCTTTAGTCTTTGTTTGTAATCTGTCATACTTTTAAAATCAATAATTTTTAAAGTTTTTAACTTTTATATGTAAAATAACAATTTAATAAGTAGTTAGCAATAACAACGGTTAAGAAATCAGCAAAGTTGTACCTGATTTCATGATCTGGTTTTATATGTAAAATAACAATTTAATTTGTAACGGTTGATTAGATTCCAAGAGCGAACTGTCTTTTTTAGCTTCGCTCATTGAAGCTGTAAAAAAGCAAAATGTTTGATGTTGATCTATCTTCTGTTTTAGCCTCCATATTGTGTCAAGATATATAGAAAGTCGTTTCACAATATTTTTGTGAGGCCTAAATTTGGGTATCATTCCTTTGAGATTTTCTAAAACATATCATGAAAAATTGGATTGAGTCATATTAATTTTTTGATGCCCGATGATTTTTCACTTGAAGAACATTAGTCTTTTAATAACTTTCATGTTCTCTAAATGAATAAAATCACAATTTTACAATATTATTTGCTCTTAATCAAAACAAATATGTTTATTATTTCTTTCTTTTGTGAGGAAAAATTGTGCTTGACGTATTAACATTTTATTAGTTATAATAGTTATAATTAGTGGATAAGATGAGAGATTTTCTCCACAAACCTTTCGTGTCCCTATAATCAGAACTAACCATATTATGATTTTTGAAACTGGAATTGTCGATTCCGAACCGGTGGGAACCGGAACTGGAACCATCGGAACCCATGGGAACCGGAACTAATGGGAACCAAAATCGGTCTGAACCAGAACCGAACCCTATAGTTCGGTTTTAGTTCCACCATTTTTGGAACCATGAACCAACGGTTTCAAGAACCGGCCGGAACAGCATGAAGCTAACGGTTTTTCCAGCCGGTTAGAATCGACGATTGGAACCGATGGTTCGAACAGACGATTCCAAGCAGATTTTGAATTTTGTGTTAAACGGCTAGAACCAGCGGTTCCATGGTTCAAACCGACGGTTCCAGCAGCTTTTTTTATTTTCCAAATAGTTTTGTGAAATTTCCAAATTACCCCTCTTAACAACTATATACGGCTACATAACGGCTAGTTTATGGGTATTTTGTAGAAAAATGATTTCTTGGATTTATTATAAATAACTCATTCCATTTACAATCCCCTCGCACAAAATTATCTCTACTATCTCTACTCTAAATTATTCTCTACTCTACAATCTCTCTAATTTTCATTCATAAATTAAGTTTCAAGCCCTTTTTTAAAAAAAAAAAAAAAAAGAAAAGTTCCAACAGTTTTGACAAAAAATAAATTAAGTTAAAGAGTTTTTTTTTAAAATTAATTTCAAGTCTTTTTTTAAAAAATAAGTTAACTTCAAGCGATTTTTAATTTTTAAGGGTATTTTTTTTTAGAAATTATTTCACAACTTTTTAAATTTTAAATTTTGAAGAAAAAATATTCTTTACTTTTTTATTTTACAATTATGCAATTCGCCAAAAAAACCGATTGGAGAACCGGCCGGAACCATTGATTTTGAAACTGTTAAGGAACTGAAACTAGAACCATAATCGTTCGGTTTCAAACCATAACCAGAACTGTCAATTTTCGATTCGGTTCCAGAATTATGGCCATCTTACCTATAATCTCGATGACAAGTTATATTGTGTTTCTTTATAAATAGATATATTTGAGAGTTATTAATTATTTCAACTAATTTCACTTGATCTACCATTTATTTTTCTCTTAAAAAATTTTAAAGCTATTATATTGGATTTGTTATTTATTTCTATAGTTCTTTTAACTATATCGGAATGTACAATCTATCTAAATAAAATAAATAAGTTTGTGAAATAATATATTTTGATCTTTGAATATTCAAAAGTTTTTAAATCTCAAATAATTTGATTTTTAAACACTTAAATAAATAAGTAGAATCTATCTAAATAAAATAAATAATTTGATTTTTAAACACTTAAATAAATAAGTAGAATCTATCTAAATAAAATAAATAAGAGTGTGAAATAATAAATTTTGATCTTTGAATATTCAAAAGTTTTTAAATCTCAAATAATTTGATTTTTAAACACTTAAATAAATAAGGACTAAGTATTATTATTAATCAAAACTTTAATTAAAATATCTTTAGTTATTTTTATTCACAAATCAAAAACTTTTTTACAATGACATAATAATATTTTTTAGAAAAACACGTGAACACCTGTGCGGAATATCAACTAGTTATTTTATAAGCGCTTGCCTTAAAGAATTTAACAACATAAAAAATAAAAAATAATAAATAATAATACAATAATAATCAACATAATAAAAAAAAAAAAGAAAACCCTATTAACAATTTTGGTTTGGATGGATGAAGAAAGCAGGAGAGGAATTCAGATCAAGTGAATAGAAAGAAAATGAGAAGAAAAATTAACAGTCTGCCTACGTGACTACTCATGCACAAAGTTAATGAAAACAGAGACTTTTTAAAAAAAAAAATAATAAATAATAATAATAATAATAATAAAAAAAAAAAAGAAAACCCTTTAACATTTGGTTTGGATGGATGAAGAGAAAGCAGGAGAGATTCAGTCAAGTGAATAAAAGAAAATGAGAAGAAAAAATTAAAGTTGCCTACGGACTTACTCATGCACCAAAGTTAATGAAAACAGAGACTTTTTAAAAAAAATTTCACTTTATTTTTTTTTATGAATGATTAAAAATATACTTATTTCAAAAAAAAAATCATTGATTTGATTAATCTATAAATCAGGTCTAAGTAAATCCATTCTAATTTTATTAATCTGAACAGAGTTATAGGTTTTATTAGTTATGTAACAAACATGCTTTTCTTTTCTTTTTTTTATTGCTCCTAAAAAATAAAATACCGCTTTTAAATTTAGAAGGAAAGATATTTTCAACAAACAAGAAGGAACTGCTTTCTTCTAGTTTTTTTCTTTTACAAGATTACACATGCATGGAATTCAGAAGAAAAATTCAACAAATACCTATTACTAACCTGACTTGCTGTGAATCTTCCAGCAAGTTTTACTTTTACACGCTCCAATGGCATTATTGTAAATGGACATCCAGCATCTAAATGATTAAAGCAAGTTAGCAGCCATGTCATTTACCAACAACTTTTGACTCCTACTGTTCATCTGCGTTAACGGCTCATACCTTTTCTTGATGCCCTCCGAATCTTACAATGTGGTTTTTGATATATATATATATATACATTTTGAAATTCCAATTGTATTTTCAGACATTCAATTTTTATTCCAATACATTTACAGTTTTATTTGATCATTTTGTAATTTGATGTTACTGTGATTACATTTTATGATATATACATTTTTTTACATTCTTTTTGGTATAAATAAAGTCAAAATGTTAAATTCATTTTAAATAAATTTTAGATAAAAATCATTATAATAGATTGAATTGGACGGCTCATCTTTATAATGAATTTACTGGGAAAAATTGCAGATTTGACCCAAACCCATAAATAATGTCAAAAATATATATCTATAATTATAAATTATTTAAATTAATTTGATTTGATTTACAATTTTGAATATAAATATTAAATTGTTGCTTTTTTTTAGTATAAACTTATTTTCAACTATGAGTATAAATATTAAATTATTGCTTTTTTTATTATAAACTTAATTTTCAATTGTTTCTGGTGTATTGTAACTTAAAATATATTATATAATTATGTTCCTAAGGAATTTTAATTTTATTGAACTTTTTTCTTATTAGAAAATTTAATTTTTCACTCATTATTATTATTAGTAGTATTATTGAAATACATTATAGTTTGAAAAATTATTGCATACTTATGTTTCTAAGTATATTTAATTTTTTGGTAATTTCTCTGAAATAGTTATATTTTATTTAAAATTATTTTTATTATTTACCATTTATTTAACCTGTAAATTTACCTTGAACTCGTACCCAATCTACCCTAACTCATTCATAACCCGCGAATTTACACATTTATTAGATGGGATTGAATCGATGATTAACAAAAAAATCATTGACGGCATATACCGGCCACATACTTTATATCAACCAACCCGACCCAACCTGACCCACATGCTGCCCTACATATTTCTTATCTTCAATACCCATTGGATTCCTCTATTAGAAGAAACAAAAAGACTGGTTTCTATGCTATTTAGTGTTTACCCTGCTTCTTTAATGCCTTAAAGGGCATTTGTCCTGTTCATCAATCTGGTTTAGAGAAAATACTAAAGACGAATATATAAATATAAATATACATCTGGGGACATCAAAAATTCAACCCTATGGAACTTGGAAGGTTAAAAATTCACAATTGATTGGTACTCCTTGAAGGAGTCAACACACACCCATTTCAAGGATTGCCCATACAAATGGTCAAGTAATTACCACAAACTTAACTTCTATTTATCATGTCCATTTCAAACAAAAATACAATAAATGAATGAATAAATAAGTTATGGCCTTGCAATCCAACCTTCTTCAGAATAAACTTGAACTTAACCCAAAAAAAAAAAAACTTAAAGAGGTACACTAACAAAGATGAACATCAGAAGAAACAAAAAAGAAAGTGAGTACAAATTGCAGAGTCAAGATACATTTAGTTACAAACCTGTTTTTTAAGGCATTCTCCCCTCCTAAATCAGCTAAAGATTCCATCAAATGCTAATAAAAACAAACAAGGATAAAATACATCAAACTGAAAAACACCCATATATAAATATAGAAAGAAGTTACCTTAAATACATCACACAACCTAATCAGTTATCAGCACTAGGCTATATATATATATATGTTCTTGCTCAGTGTATGGAATCTATGTTCTTGCTCAGCTCTTCCAGCTTCTTCAGCCTCAACCTCTCACTTTCACTCACCAGCTGCTCAAATTTAAAACAAAACAGCAAAATACTTGTTACACATTTGAACTACGAGACATGCATACTTTCCAACACAAAAGTTGAGGAAGTTCTATATCCTATCTTTTCCACTCAAATATAATGCAGCCTCTCCCAATTTATATGATATATTGAAACCAAAGAGTTTTTGCTCAATCATCTCTCCAAGCTTGTAAGGTTGTGAATTTGACCAAAACAGTATATATTGAATGAATCCGGTTTTACACTAGTAGGAGTTGAAAGCATAAATGTGCCTCCCTGTTATGCATCTTACACTCAACATTTGCCAAAAGGTTAACATGTGCAATTGAAAGGCTCGCTACTTAGGAGTTGAAACCAGAAGGGTAATTTTGGTTAATGGTTATTCATCTTACACTCAAGCATTATTTACCAATAGATTAACCCAGACACATGTACCCATCTACAAGCAAAACCTTTTAAAAGACCCTAACTTCACAATGAACAGGATTCAAATTCAAATCCATGCTTTCCAAACAGGATTCAAATTCAAATCCATGCTTTCCCTATAAAATTGTGCTCAAATTTTTACTGCTAGACAAATCTAAGAAAGTAAAATTATACATGTACATGATTAAAGTGGATGCTCAGATGAGAACCATACCTCCATTAATTTGGTTATGAGCTGTACTTTTTCCTTGTTCTTTTCATTGAAAGCCTCAAGAGCTTCCTTGTATTCTTTCTCCTGTGACAAAAAAAAAAAAAAAAAAAAAAAAATTTGTTACTGCAGACAAAGTCTAAGAATAAAATTATACATGTACATGATTTAAAGGTGGATGGCTCAATGAGATTACCCATACCTCTCCATAAATTCTGTTATAGCTGTACTTTTTCCTTGTTCTTTCTCATTTGAAAAAAACGAGGGGGCCTTTCTCCCCCAAAAAAGAGCCTTCCTTAGTATTCGTTTACTGCCTGGTGACAAAGAGAAAAAAAAAAAGTGAAAAAACAAAATTCGTGGTTTCCTTGACCCAATTGGGAAAAAAAAAAAAAAAAAAAAAAAACCAAAATTCAGTGGTCCTTGACCCAATTGGCCACATGTAAAATAACAGCTGAATTTATTTTAGCTTATATACATGACAAAATTTTTGGGACATCATCCTATTTGCAATGTCTGGTAATTTACCTTCTTCTGGACAGTATGCCCTAGTGGTTTCAATTCTTTGTTAACAGTATCAATCTTCTTTCTCACAAAAGCAACTTCTTTCCTCATGGGATCTGCCATTGCTTCAAGCTCCTGATAGAATTTTATAATTTAGTTTTCAACCAATAAAAATTGCAAACATAATTTAACCAGCTCTCTGCAGCTATTATTATTATTATTATGAGGTCAAAGATTTCCCAATCATATGGGTTTTGAGCATCAAGGCCATATCTTACAAGATATTTAATCATTCAAAATCACTATTGTTTGATAACCCTTGGGTAAATATGCATGAAACCCAAAATTATATGATAAATTTTACAAAACTTGGCATTAACTTTTGAGGAAACATTTATATTTATCATTTCTTATTTTTCCCCCTTTTAATATCTTTAGGGTTGAACTTGAACATCTTGATTCACAAGTGTCGTGCTTTAAATTCATGTTATATTATGTTCAGATCAAGAATTTCAGTCACTGTAAAAGAAAATATGAACAAAAATTTTAACTCTTTCCTAAATTAATTTAGGGTTTTCAACTTTTCGCTGAATTAGTTTAGGATATAACAATCCAACAAAATTTCAACTAAAAAAAACAAAACAAAAAAAAAAAAAATTAAATCCAAGGAAGAACTTTTTTTTCACTAAAACCCAACAAGATATAGAAAACAAACCTCACGAATCATGGCCAAACGTTTTGTCTCTTCCTCAACACGACCCAACTGAAGTTGAACCTTCTCTCTAACCTCCATCTTCTTCCTCTCAATCTCTTCTTCTTTAGCTCTAAAGGTAGAAAGGGCAGACCTGGACATCTCTTCATCTTCTTTAGACATTTGGCTGCTAAAGCTAAGGCTACCTGAGTTTTGAACCATTAACTGGTTCTGTTGCTGTGGCTGCTCCATTGTCTGCATAATCTTCAAACTTCAAGAGAAACCTTCTTCTTCCTCGAATTCCTCTCTTTATTATCTTTCTCTGTCCGTTTCTTTTCTCTCTCCCTCTCTTTCTTTTGCTTTTTCTTTGATGGGTATGATGGGGTACCCTCTTTTCTTTCTTTTCTTCTTTCTTTCTTTTCCTGTGGCAAGTGCTTATAAACAAGGCTGGCTGGCTGGCTTTACAAAAGTTTGTAAAAGTGCCAATACAGCTTATGACCCTGTCTTTGTGAACCAAAAAACATAAGAAACTATAGTTCATAAATACTTTCTTCTTTTTGAAAATTATTCTATAATTATTATAAATTCTTTAGTTTTACTTTTTAAATTAATGAAAAATTAAATTTCATAATTTATCTTGAGCTATAACAATAAGATAATACTTTTCTCTATGAAACTATAAAGTATAAATTATAAAAAAAAATTAATTTGATCAAATCCAATAAGTACTTTCTCTGTCCCAAAATATAAATCTTTTTTTGTTTATTATTTTGTTTCAAAATTTAAGTCGTTTTGTTTATTTCAAGAAATAATAAATGATGTGTTTCTAATATTGCTCTTGTTTACATTAAATCTAATAAATACTTCACAAGCAAATATTGGTTTTGAGATAAAGGGTAATTTGATCAAATTACTAGGAGAAATAATTATTTCGTTAATCCTTGTGTAAAAATTTTAAACGACTTATATTTTAAGACAATGGAGGTATTATATAACAAAAAAAATAAGTGTAAAACTCATTTATTATGTATAGTTATTTTCTCACATAATATATCTATTTGACGTTTTTTTTTTTTTTTTTTTTTATTTATAAAAAAAATTAATTTGACTTCCAAATCAAAATAACTACTTTCTCTACTTGTCCCATAACCTATCAAATCTTTTTTTTGATTTTAATGTATTTTGTTATTAAACGTCGTATTTGTTATTATTTCAAGAAATAATAAAAATGATGGTTTCTAATATTTAATCTAATTTAAATACTTCACAAGTTATCTGGTTTTTGAGCATAATCGGTAATTTGATCAACTTACTAGGAGCAAACTAATATTTTAATCACTCTGTGTACAAAAATTTCTTCAAACGAAATTTCATTTTATATCACACGGATATTATTATAACAAAAACGACATTTGTGTAAGAACTCATTTATGTAATAAGTTCATCTTTCTCACTTTACTACTCATAGTTTTTGATTTTTTTTTTTTTTTTTTTTGAATATTAAGGAAAGAGAATCGAAAATGAGTCTATTATCATGGCATAGATGTATTTACTTGTTACCACGTATTACTAGATATTATGCTTTTGTGTGCTTTCACTATTTCATTTATAACATATTTCTAAAACTATAATATCTGAATTTTAAAGACAAAAATGTAGGAAAAGAAAAAAATAAAAAGGCAGGGAATGAAATGACCCACTGCCAAAACAACTGAAAAAAGACAGTTGAGTGATTCAAACTTTATTTACTAATAAAATGTGAATAATGAAAATTTTGAAACCTGAAACACACATAATTGTTTATTATAAAAAATGACCTTAAGATTTGAAAATTTCTCATCCAAGTTTATAATAGAGTTTCAGTATTTACAGCAGTAAAATTTAAAGAAATATTATTAAATGGAACTCGTACAAGGGTGCAGATTGACCTCTTGACAAGAAAATTTTCTTTTTTTTTTAAAAAAAATTTTATTTTTAAATATGCAAAAGATAAGTTGGTAGACAGGGAACTCCAACTAGCTCTTGCTAGTTACCTCATACACATGGGATGACTGACACAAGATACATTATTTATTTCTACAATGACCAAGGCTAATACTATATAATAATTTCTTAGTCTCCTAATAATAATTTTGTTTAACTATAATTGGAATTTTCTTTTTTTTTTAAATCTTTTAAATGAAGTAATTTTTACTAGTTTATTTATTTTATTTTATTTTTTAATGAAAATTCAGAACTGAAGTCGTTCATTTGAAGGATATTATTAACAGTATAGTTTTCACTTTTAATTAAATAAGAAAGTAGATAATTTTTTTTGAAAATTAAATAAATAAGAAAGTAAATAATTAGTTTTGACCATCTTAAATTATTAATTTAAGATGAGGAAGTATATTTTTATGAGCTTAATCAATTACATACTAATCTTTTATTTTTTGACAATTCAACCCTATTTTTATTTCTCAGTCAAAATTGAAAATTCATCATTTTCTCTCTCTTATTTGACCTCAATTTTCTTATATCACTTGGGTTTTTGCTTGAAATTACTACAAACTTCTATTGTTTCGGCAAAATCAAAGACTCATACCTCAAATTTAGTTGCATTAAGCAGTCATTTAATAAAAAAAATGTCATTTTTACTATTAATTAAAAAAAATTAAATGATAAATATAAGAGACTAAATAGTAATTTTATATTTAATATAAAGAGCTAAATAGTCAAATATGCAATATGAAACTATCTCTTTATTCATTTATCAATGATTAGAAATCTGAAGGGATATAGCGGTAGACAATAGAGGTTGAAAAGTTGAAAGAGCAAAGAAGTTATCCTAATAATAATAATAATTGAGATAATCTAAAAAAAATCTGTTTGTGTATATTTGTATGTCATTCATCTTATATAATAGATGATTTGATGTATAGAGTTTAGCTTATATGTAAAAGATTAGCATCAGTTTTTATAATTTATAAAGTTTATATATATTCATAATCTAAAGCGGGGGTGGACATAACATCAGTATGATTGTAACACAAAATTAATATAATTTTTCTTAATTATAAGAATAATAAAATACTACTTTCTTGTGTTAGTATATTATATATATATATATATATATATGGATGGACATAACCATCCCAGTATTGTCTGTAACACCCAATTGAATATAATTTTTCTTAATTATAAGGGACACTAATAAAATTACTACTTTCTCTGTGAATAGATATCACTTACTACTATATAACTATCACATACTATATATATACTCGAACCAAAAATACATTAGTGTGTTTTGATATATACATTGAACTTATATAAAAAAACTTCCTCTGTTTCATATAAGCAAAGTATATACTCTTATTCTGGATTACTTCATTAACTACTGAAAACATTGTATTATTATTTATTGTTTGACTATCATTATAAAAGCGTGACGTGTCATTAGTGTAGCCAAGCATGTCGAAACTTGTCAAGTCGTGGGTAAGATAACATATATATCGAACAAAATTAAGTGTTTTTATATTGACTATATAAAAATTCTCTAGTTCATTAAGAATATTATACTCTTATTCTGGATTTAATTACTATGAACATTGTATATTATTTATTGTTTTGATTCATTAAAAGGTGAGTTTCATTATGTAGCAATAAATTTAATGGATTGGATAATGACAATGTGCATTTTGTGATATATTATTTTATTGATAGAATCCATATCTCTATTTAGAAATTGATAATACTCCTCGAGAAAACTTTTAATTTTTCATTGTGTAAGCTCTTAAGTTTTTATGTGGATTTTGTAATTGACAGGTGAAGTAAGTTACATGGAAGTCTTAAGGAATTAAGTTCTCAATTAAATAAATTATCAATAATGTATTTTGGTCGACTGATATCTATAATTTTAACATGGAGAGTTAAATAAATATTTAATGTCTAAGAATTTCAAAATTAATGAGGAGTGAAATTACAAATTTATAGTGGATTAAATAATAGTTTATTTTAGTAAGGTTTGTAAGGTTTAGAAAATATTTTTATTATGATAAGAAGCTTATTATCATGTGGTCCATGTTGCGTCTTAGAAATTAGGGCTTCAAAAGAATGATTAAAAGAGGGAGAAAAATAGGTCACATGTTCACCGGACAAAAAACATAGTTCCAGAGTTTTTTTTTTCTCCAGTCGTTTTACCCACACGAACTTGAGTTTTGGAATTTCTGAGATCACACAATAGAAGATTGTAAGTTTGATCAAAGCAGTTACAAGAACTCAAAACTAGCATTAAATAGCTTGAGATCAAATTTTAAAAATTTCAAAAGTACGCTTTATAATTTTTTATTAATTAAAATCGAAACTATATTTATCTATACATATTATACAACTTTATAAAATATGCTTCCGCGATGTGAGTTTTCCATGCCATATACAAGTTAATGAGAATTTCTTTATTTTCTTACACTAATAAAAATCCTACTCCAATAGTTAACAGATGAATATTTGATTTGCAATATTGAATTTTAAGGAAAAAAATATTTGTATTTACTAAAAATTGTATGATAATCAAATGATTAGTAGATTGTTTTATATGTATATATATAGATTGTTTATATATATATAATTATATATATAATATATATATATATAATATATAATTATATATATATTGTTGATGGGGCGTCATAATCAATCATTATATATATTGTTGATGGGGCGTCATAATCAACATTTATTATGGTTGTTATGAGTTGATAATGATAGTCCATATTTGTTAATTTTAATAATAGATGGCGTGATTTGCAAAGTGAAATATACATAGTAATACTCCACATTCTATCATTATCAAAATTAATATAGTTACTACTAATTTAATGATTTTCACAAATTCACACATCAACATATTAATTAACCCTTGGTGTTGACTTATGTATGACTTTTGAGAAATTCATATAAAATTTTTTTTTTCTCGGATCTCGAGTTAAACAAATTAATATTATTAAAAATAATTATATGAGTGGCAATTTGGGAAAACAAAATTATTATGAATATTTGTTTTGAATAGTTGTAGATCATCCTATGCTTGAAGACACAAATAGAGGGTGCTTAAAATAAACGTTAGATGTGGAGTGGACAAGAAGGGTCACCTACACATAATCTGGCCCAATCAAATTACGAGGCGTAAGTGCAAAGGCAAAGTTGGAGAAGGACAGTGGCGGCAGCTTATCTAACCCCTTTTGACATGTATCTCTGCCTTTCCTATATGGGAATCTCCTTTTTGTTTTTTTCAATTTTAATTATCCAACCAAAATATTTCTTTTTTTCTTTTTTTTTTTTTTTTCAAACGGTAAAATTGGTCCAACTATATTGAATTGGTCTGTTCAATTCCATTTAGTTTTTTAAAAACATATATTCAATTTGGTTTAGTTTTAAAAATTTCAGTTATTAATAGAAGTCAAAAAATTTT